CTAATATTCTCCCAGTACGGCCCTCGCGCTTGGTTAATAAGACATATATAATATACATGAAAAACTACGAAGTAGCTTCTCATAACTACGCAGAAGAAAAGCGCGCGCATCAGGTGCAAAAATAATTTACTGAAACCCTGCAAGTCACATTGAACTTGACATTGACATTGACGAATCATTCTGACCAATCAGAATGTCTGGTTTGCTTCTTTCTTTGCACTGAATTAACCCTCTTCTGCACTGAATTAACTCTCTTCTGCACTGAATTAACTGAAAACTGCATTCATCCTAACCAATCAGAACTGAGAAATTTTTTCATGTATATTATTAGGCCTGAAATCATACGCGTGATTTCAAAATCAAACGAGCGCACACAAGCATTGCGCAGAATGCCGCGACACGTTCGGGTAATGCTGCTTGGTAGGACCGTTTCCTTCATTGCAAGTCTAGAGTATGGCTGAGAAACTTATTTCTTGGCGCTTGTGTGTCGAAAGATATTCTGGAAAGATTTTCAAAGCCATATCGAGGTTTTTCCAATTGTATGTGCGGCTAAGGGTAAATTTCTTTACAATAAAGGATACTCCTCCTTTCTCTAATGCTTTGATAAATCAATGTAGAGTTCTTATTCACCGAACTACCGCATCAAAAATGAGTTATACCGTAAAATCGCAAAGCTTTAGGTCATCCCTTGAAATCTTATTTCTGCGAAGTTGCTTTCACATCAATCAAGCAATCTCCTCCGGTAGATGATCTTTTTTTTTTACTTTCTGCCTGAAAGTGCATTATTATTGTTAGTAAAAATTCTGTTTTTAAAGGAGAACTTTTCTGACTCACATATTCACCGCGCGAAGCTATAAAACTTGTAAAGCTAGAATGCTCTTACCTTTCGGTGGACTATGGGATTCTTTTTTTTATAAATATATTTATTAAAAACTAGATCATTGGATAATGCAATTCAAGACTTTTTATTGGCTTAGCCATTATGGTATATCAGCCAATATACCATAATCTACAAATATGGTAAGCGTACGTGTCAGCTTAAATTTAAAAGGGAGCTAAAAATTTAATAAAATTTAATAATTTAATTTAACGTTTTTAATAAAACAATTATTCCACTCGCGCTTGTTGGATATGAGATGATTATAGCCAACTCGGCGCTACGCGCCTCGTTGGCTATCTATCATCTCATATCCAACGCGCGCTCGTGGAATAATTGTTAAATATACGATAAAAATACTGTTTTGAATATGGAAGACCACTCTCATGCGCGTCAAATGAGTCATCTACGTCACGCATACGGAAGTGAGCTGAGCTTTTGCATGGGCAGAGTGTAGAGGCTCACTGAATCTTCTATTCGTCACCAAATCCTCACGCGTGTTAGTTTCCTCTGCTGCTTCATTGCCATCCTCTTTAATGCTTTCTAGTACGATCATAAGCCTGCTTTGCTTAAGGCGTGACTCGTGGCCAGACATGCTCCTTGTAGCCCGTTTTCCTTGAAGATCAAGGGCCATCTCGGTTGAGCTAATCTCCATCATCGTACGGTTAAATGTGCTTGATAGAGAATCGGATCCTTCATGCACCATGCATTCTCCAAGGCTGCATTCGGCTTTGGTCAGCTGATTCATCCCCTCTCCTGATCAAGTCCCATTTATATATTCGCAAGCACAACCGTGTGCGCTCCGCTCAATTGCTCAGTGAAGCTGTAAATCAGGAACGTGCCCACGAAGATGGAATAGCTGATTCACCTTAAACTGAACTTGGCCTATGATATTCGGCGCACAGTTATATGCAAAATCATGCCTTCATGTTCCTACGTCAGCGCAGTCACGTTGGACGACTTGCACTTGTCACAATCATCTCAACGTTTACCTTAATGTTCCCAGAGTTCTGCCAGAAGGTTCCTTGGATGAGTATCGCGCTCAATACTTAGTTTTTGAGTGAAGATATATCTCATTTTCTCGTTTCCAGGGGTTATTTTTCAGCTCATTGCTTCGAATTCGTGTTCTTGAAACTCGATAACAACTAATCCAGCGGGTTCTGGTCTTTTCTACTGCATCTAAATGCGCTTGCACACCGCATGGCCTGCTAAGATGCACCAACTGTCCTTTCCCAACTTTTGTCTGCTTGTGTTTTTATGTCGTTCTGTTTGGCGAATATTCCAGCCAAAGGTAGTCAATCAATTTACTTCCAATAAAATAATAATTTCAAAATAAACCGTGTTTGTTTTGTAAACACATGTGGCGTTTTATTCGAGCGGAAAAAAAAGACAGGGTTTTTAATTATTCCTTTCACCGTAAAAGGATTTGACAGCAATAATCCCAGGTGGCCCAAGCTCTGTCACAGGCTCTTTCACAGTGAATAATTAAAGAGTTTGTATAGTGGGAGGACCCGTTGAGAGAGATTTGACTAGGGTCCAGGTTAACCGCGCATTAACGGTCTATCAGCTGCACAAGAAGTTCCTTCCATGCATTAGAAGAATTCTTAACGGCCGTTAATTTGAAATTCTCGCTAGATTGGTTACTCGACAAACCATCTTTTGTGGGATTTTTTTCAGTAAACTTAAAGGGAAACTATTTGGCTTTCGTGCTGCCAAGTTTTGACTCTAGGGAAAGTGTTTAAGTGTTGTTTTCGATCGATTTTGGCGAGCATGTGTCAACAGAAGTTTCCGACCTTTCCGTATTTTGTGCACGGGTGATTTAGGGCGTCAAGCTAAAACACATCAACACGGCCTCAAATCACGAGGAGAACAACACAGACTACACTCTATGAAAGTAAGACTTTATTTCTTTGATTATTGCACACAAGTTTACATTTACGGAGTCCAAAAGCAAGTCCAACTAAACCACAATACAAACTCTTTAATTATTCACTGTGAAAGAGCCTGTGACAGAGCTTGGGCCACCTGTGCAATAATATGATCTTCTCCGCAAGATGGCGCCGTTTTAATTATTTGTTCAGCTGATGGCTCGGTGCCTTTAAGTCTGCGTCTTTTGTCCGCACTTGGGTTGACACAAACAAACATGATCAGGAAACTTCAACTTAAAGTCAAAACACAAAAGATTGTAAATGGAAAATACATTGTATTGAAACTATCTTAGGCATATTTATGATAATTTTACTTAGTCGGTGATGATGAGTAATAGGCCATACTCTGTTGTAACTTACACTGTAACTGGATATGGAATGAGGCTTCAAAAGTTGCAATGGAACTAACCGTTCTTAATGGGAATCAGGAGCAAAATCAGTAATTGCAAGCATGAATATAACACCATTTAGTAGTACTCATGTATGAAAAGCGAGCATCTGTGTGCAAGGTGTTAAGCAAACGGCATAACGATTCATACAAAATCGTAATATCACTCTTAGTGATATTGTAATTGAAATACGGACCTCAACCCCGGTAATACGTATACGCAGTGTACGGAATGGATAAAGGATTTTTTATATTCATTTGTGTGTCGAGAGGGTTCATACACAAGGTGCAGTTAAATTTCCATTGCCTTTAAAAGAAAAACGATTAATAATGGCAGTTGAACTGAGTGGAGTGCAATTTGGTCTGAAATCATACGCGTGATTTCAAATCAAACGATCGCGCACAAGCATTGCGCAGAATGCTGCGACACGTCCGCGTAATGCTGCTTGGTAGGGCCATTTCCTTCATTGCAAGTCTAGACTATGGCTGAGAAACTTATTTCTTGGCGCTTGTGTGTCGAAAGATGTTCGGGAAAGATTTTCAAAGCCATATCGAGGTTTTTCCAATTGTATGTGCGGCTAAGGGTGAATTTCTTTACGTCTGGAATCTGGAGACAAATCCCTGTCTGTGGAAAGAAGATGAGTATTTTTGAGATCTGAGGTGGCCTCTATTTCCAGACCATTTGCTATTTCCTATGTGTCTTTTGCCTTGATTTTATACTTGACTTGACTGGTCATTGATTTCAGCGATGGCAGTATTGTAACCTTCCCGTTTTTAAATTCGCCCGACATCAGTGCCGAGACTTTTCACAGTCCACTTTCCACGAACTAATAGCGGACGACAACCCCTGATAAACAACGCCTGTCTCGCGCGACTAAATATGTGTCTTCCTCTCAAAATGAACCACGACCTTTACCTGAACTTATCAACCTAAAACTAATTGTAGGATAAACGTTGGTTTCTTTAATTTTTACGCGTTCCATGTCATTTTCACGTGGTCACACGTCATTGTAAGAACTATTATAATTTCTGTCAGTACCTCAACGGTCTCCCTTACAAATGCATGACGCTTTTATAAGTCATGTTATACACTTAATTTTTAAATATTTCGTGGCGTGCCTGAGAAAGTTATCATCTTGTTGTTGTGGCCAGACCAACGAAGAGAGAAAATTCAGGTTCTGTTTTCTTAACACAAAGCTACACTAAAAAATGTAACCGTTGAGAAGCATCGTATGTAAATAAGTGATGGAAGACTCCTGTTTCTTTCCAGCATCTGCTCTAATTAATTTAGTGTTGTGCGTCTATTAATGCTGGGAGGACGCGGCTCTTAGCTTATTTAGTCTTCCTAAAAGTGGCAGATGCTCGGAAGTTTTAGATGTGGTAAATTTTCTGTTAGACTGCCTTAAAGAAAATCTGATATCTTTTCGTTAGTTCCATAAACACTAGCTGGGCAAGTCAAATCTAGGATTCGTTTTATGCGGTAATTACTGCAGGCATGATATATTGTGTCGAGGAAACGACTGAAAGTTCTAACGCTGATAAAATATACTCTGCAAAAACCAATCCCTTTTCCGTACTTGAAGAAAAAAGGGATCACATCCAACCATCGAGATTCTTCACAGAATCCATGAGCAGTTACACAAAATAACACTTTCCTACCACAATAATTAGTTCGATTCTTTCATTTCATTTTCAGTTCATAGTGCGTTTTCTAAAAATACCTTGACGCTGAACTTCATCTGCTGTTTAAACGTAACAGTTCTTAATTTAAATTTAGGATATCTGTCTTTTGTCCTTTCAGACACCTGTCCGGAAATCAAAAAGGGAAAGGGAGCTCGGTTTCAAAGGTATTTCAACTGTTAATAAATAGAAGATCTTTGTGAAAATGCATCACATTTTAAGTTAGTTTTCGACAGATTTATACGTTGTGTGACTGTATTACAAAACATTAAAAATAACTGTCATTTGACTAAGAAAATTGCATTTGTAATATTTTGACCACGTTTGCAGACGGATGCAGTGCTTCTTTCACAGACATCGTTAAGTCTCTTGAATATTTTTCTTCTTTTCTATTTTTCCTTTTTTCTTTGGGGGAGGAGGGAGGGGGGTAAAGTTTAAAATATTTGCGAGACAAGAGCAAAAGCTGAATGTTATATGGTCAGTTGGCTCCCACGTTGCAGTGCAACGGATTGTCTTAACACCCAACTCCAAATTTGCTACATTTTACCGTTAGCTTCTTCAAAAGTCATTACCAAAACTTCTTGGTTCTGTTTTGTCAAAAATGAAATTATTTAAAATATATTTATCACCTAAGCATTGATGTCTGAAACTTCTTCATTGACTTTGTTCATCTTTTGGCTTGTCTTGTCAATTCTTATTTTGATTGTGAAAACAAGAAAGGATACTCCTCCTTTTACTAATGCTTTGATAAATCAATGTAGAGTTCTGATTCACTGAACTAACGCATTAAAAATGAGTTATGCCGTAAAACCGCAAAGCTTTAGGTCATCCCTTGAAATCTTATTTCTGCGAAGTTGCTTTCACATCAATCAAACAATCTCCTCCTGTAGATGATTTCTTTTTACTTTCTGCCTGAAAGTGCATTATTATTGATAGTAAAAATTTTGTTTTTGGTGCCTCCTGGGAATAGGAGGATAAAGGAGAACTTTTCTGACTCACATATTCACCGCGCGAAGCTATAAAACTTGTAAAGCTATCTTTCGGTGGACTATGGGATTCTTTTTTTATATATATATTAAAGCTCCTCTAACGTATGATTAAGAGTACTTTTAACAAAATTTAACAGAAAGAGGAAAAAAATGTTTTTTTCTCCTGCTGATTTGTTGTGTTACACGACACAGCCATAAATATTGAGTGAAATTATAAAACAAAATATCAAAAAGGCAAGGAAAACTAAGGAAGTACGAAAATAACAGCGAATCGACTGAAGAAACCTTACGATGCACTTTCGAGCACCAAGAGACACAGGTCGACACTTTAATAGGATGCAATAGAATAGTGCAAGTTGAACGCTGCAAATTCTGATTCATCAGTATCTCTAGACAAAACGAGTTTCTTGGACATGTATCAAAGTGAAATTCATTTATTTATTTTTAACTACCAAGCAGAATAGCTGTTCAGTGTTCCATCACTCAGGGTTGTTAAGACTTGATCTGACCCGAGAAAATCTCTTCCAGTGTTGGTTGCGAACGTACGCAATCGTAACTGTCTCGTAAAGGTTGTTGAGGGAAAAAGTCTGGAAAAAATGCTTTAGCTGTTGTGATGTTTTTCTTATGCAAATTGGTCACCATGTGGTGTTTTTTTCAGTGGTAAGGTAGTTCCGGGGTAAACATTAGAGCTTCTTACGGAAGTGAGCTGAGCTTTTGCATGGGAAAAGTGTAGAGGCTCACTGGATCTTCTATTCGTCGCCAAATCCTCACGTGTGTAAGTGTTCTCTGCTGCTTCATTGCCATCTTCTTTGATGCTTTCTTGTACGATCATAAGCCTGCTTCGCTTAGGACGTGACTCGTGGCCAGACATGCTCCTTGTAGCCCGTTTTCCTTGAAGATCAAGGGCCATCTCAGTTAAGCTGATCTTCATCATCTTACGTTTAAATGTGCTTGATAGAGAATCGGATCCTTCATGCACCATGCATACTCCAAGGCTGCATTCGGCTTTAGTCAGTTGATTCATCACTTCTCTTGATCAAGTCCCGTTTATATATTCGCTAGCACAACTGTGTGCGCTCCGCTGAACTGCTGAAGCTGTAAATCAGGAACGTGCCCACGAAGATGGAATAGCTGACTCACCTTGAACTGAACTTAGCCCATGATATTCGGCGCACAGTTATATGCAAAATCATGCCTTTATGTTCTTACGTCAGCGCAGTCACGTTAGACGACTTGCACTTGTCACAATCATCTGAACGTTTACTTTAATGTTCCTAGAGATCTGCCAGAAGGTCCATTGGATGAGAATCGCGCTCAATACTTAGTTTTGAGTAAAGAAATATCCCTCGTTACCGAGGAGATTTTTTAGTTCATT